ATTTTGTTGGTAGTGATTTCATCTGTTTTATTGCTTTGCTTGATTGTGTTTTCTATTGCGTTTTTAATAAATTTATATTGTATTGTATTTTGCTTTGTCATTTTATTTTATTGTTCATTCATCATTTTTATTCTCTCTCTGTAAGACCAACTGTAAAATTACAACAGTGTTGARTTTCAGTGTACATATTTAAGAAAATGATTTTCTTTTCTCATCTGCTTGTGTGCAGGTTGACAGATGTCATGGCAACGCTTGGAAAATGACAGTGACAACTGCCATCTTCAACACCTGCTAAAGACAGTTCCCATCTTGAAGTGACAGAAGCTACAAAATGTCAGATTTGGATGATATTATTTCGCTGTACTTCAGACTGTCATTAAGCAACAAAGAAATCCTTCATATTTTAGCACACAGTCATAAAACCATATTAAGCTGTCGAACTTTAAAAAGGATTTGCAGAAGACTTGGGCTCTTTAGAAGGAAGAATCAGACTGACCTTGAAGAAGTGCTGGCCTTTGTCCAACAACAAATAATGAGTAATGGACAGATGCAAGGTTATCGGTGGCTACATCTTCGTGCGATTCAACATGGATCACTCATCGCATTGCCACAATTGATAGCAGATTGAACACGGTTTTTTCTTCTAACCCCATTTCACCTCCTGTTACCACGCCCAGTTTTACCTTTGAGAGAACCAGACATCCGACCCTCAGAATTATTTGACGGTGATATAAATCAGTGTGCAGGTTTTTTACTGCAGTGCCGGTTAGCTTTGGCTCGTGCACCTTCACTTTTTCCAACTCATTCTGCCTGAGTCACTTACATCGTGTCTGCTTTAAAAGGAAAGGCTCTCAGATGGGCTCAAGCTTTCCTTTCAGCTCATTCCTCAGATACACTCACCTCTCAGTTGTTCATTCAGGAGTTCTAGCGTGTTTTTGATTATCCCCTCCAGCAGGAGGAAGCAGCGAAAAGACTGATCAATCTACGACAAGGAAGTAAATCGGCAGCTGAACACTCTGTGGATTTTCGCATTGTTGCGGAAGAAGCTGGTTGGGAGGAACTTTCCTTAAAAGGTATTTACATAAACTCATTATCTGAACAACTTAAAGATCAATTGACTTCCCGGGACGAACCTGGAAGTCTTGATGATTTAATTGCATTGTCCACACGTATTGATAATAGATTAAGAGAGCAGAAGAAGGAAAAAAACTACACTTCCCAGACGCCGCGAGCTTCCACCTCCACAATCAGTGGTGAGTTTCCTCTTCCTCACACAACAGCTGTTACCAACCCTGCCGAACCCATGCAAATTGGACGCACCCGGTTGACTCCTGAGGAAAGACAGAGACTGTTTGCTGCCAAGTTGTGCATCTACTGCGGTAGCAAGGGACACTATGTCGCCACTTGCCCCCTGCGGGGAAACGGGTCGTTTAGATAGTTTGATAATAATGGTCCAGCCTGGGTCGCGGAGAGTATCGATCCTAAAGATCGATACTCTGTCGATACTTTTTTCCAG